GAGAGAGAGAGAGAGAGAGAGAGAGAGAGAGAGAGAGTAAAATATTTATATTTTTTGGTGTAAATGTCCGTTGTTTTTTTTTTTGGGGGGGGGGAGCAGAACCTGGGATTGAACTCAGGCCCTTGCACTTGCCAGGCAAGCACTTATTCTACTGAGCCATCTCCCTGGCCCCTAAATGCCAGTTTTGTAACTGACTAAATGGCCATCAACAACATCAGAATGGTTGAAACTAACCCTGTTAATTAAGGCAGTTTCCCTTCTGTCTACCCACCACTTTCTGTACTATATTTGAATTTATGTAAAAAAGTATTACTTCATTAGCTAAATATAATTTTGTGAATTCAACCCGAGAGTTAGGAAATGCATAGTGATCCCATGCTGTGGACATACATAAAGCCATACAAACTAAACTTAGTTTTGTAACTTGTGCCTCTCTAAGATGTTAATAGGAAATTTTGCCTCTATCTTTCCATTCATTCACATCAAAGATAATGATATCGACAGCTTGTTGCCTAAAATATTGTTAGATGTTCAGAAAATAGTTATTACAAGAATTGACTTTATTTACTTACGTAATAGTATAGTCTCTTCTGGTGCAGTGGTAATGAACCCATGGAAGGTCCAAAAAATTCACCATCACTGGTCTGGTATATTTTCAGTGTTTGTGTACTTTGAAAGGATAGCTACTTATTATAAAACTAAGTTTAGTTTGTGTGGCTTTATGAGATGTTTCCTTTGTTCAAAACAAAGCAGTGGGTGAACAGAAGAAAAAAGGTTTATAGTTGTTAACAGTGGGACTGTTAGGATATGGGATTATTAATCTTATTTTCATTTATATGGGAAATAGCTATGGTGAACATGAATTGACACCAGGACAAGGGACAAAAAAATTTAAAATTATGTTTTCATACAAACTACCCAGTGTTTTAAATTGTTAGTTTTGTATTTTGTGCTGTAGGAAATTTTAGATTAATTGCCATTTATGCCACTTAGTTTAGTTTTTTAATTCAGGGTCTTGCCATATAGTTCAGACTGACCTTGAACTCACTGTATATGGCTCATGCTGGCCTTGAACTTGCAGCGATTGTCTTCTCAGCCTCCAGAGTGCTGGGATTATAGTAATCCATCATGCCTGGCTAACACTTACTTTCGAAGTACAGTAATTGTATTACTTTTTAACTTGATTTCTAAAGTTATAAAACAGTGATGCTGGTTAAATGTAAAATAGAGTAGCACCTTTTTTTATTTTGGTACTGGGAATTGAACTAGAGTGGCAACTTTTAGGAAATTACAGAAATGATGTATTAGGTACTTTGGTAGCACATATACTAAAATTGAAACAATACAGAGAGCATTAGCATGGCACCTATGCAAGGATGATGGCAAATTTATGCAGCATTATATATTTTTCTGGAAGATAGTAGGAACAGCACTTAAAGACATAAGTGTAGGCAAGGTCTTTCTGGGATTTTTTGAGATAGGGTTTCACCATATTTGGCCATTAACTCACTTATGTTAGCCTATGTAGGCCCATAGCATAGATGGTGATCCTCCTGCCACAGCTTTCTGAGTGCTGGGATTATAGGTATGTGCCACCTACCCAGCAAGGATTTTCTGAACAGAACCCAATACTGAGAATCAACACATGAAATGTATCAAATTAAAAAGCTGCACAGCAAAAGAAACAACTAAAAGAATGACGGGACAACCTACAGAATGGGAAAAATTTTTGCCCTCTGTGCCTTGGACAGAGGACTATTATCTAAAATATATAAACAACTAAAAAGAACTAGATCACTCATAAAAGATCCACTTAAAAAAATGGGCAACTGAAATGAACAGACTTCTCAGATGTACAGATTGCCAATAAATGCATGAAGAATGGCTCATCACTGGCCATCAGAGAAATGTAAATTTAAAAAACACTACCCTGAGATACCATATTACCGCTTAAAGAATCGTTCGTTATCATTAAAAAACCTAGTAACAAATGCTGGTAAAGATGTGGGGAAAAAGGAACTCTACTACATTGCTGGTGGGAGTGTTAACTAGTACCATCACTGGGAAAGTCAGTATAGAGATGCCTCCAAAAACAAAGTAGAAATTCCATTGACCCAGCTGTTCCCTGCCAAGCAATTTTCCCAAAAGAGTTAAAAGATCGTATTGCAGGGAAAGGTGTGTATCTATGTTTTTAGCAGCACCTTACATAGTAAGTAAATCTTGTCAGCAGCATATATATCTATCAACAGATGAATGTGGAAGATGTATTTATACATAATAGAATACTATGCTGACAGATATAAACTTGAGGCATACATAAGTAATTGAATGCAACTTGAGAACATAATATGTGAATTAAGTCAGCCACTCAAACTCAAATATGGCATAGTTTTTTATATGAGAAATTACAAGGGCCAGCTAAATAGGTCAGTGAATTAAAGCCCCTGCACGCAGCCGTAGGAGCCAGGGGTTTGATCCCCTGGGCCTGCCATGCCAGCCCTGCCCCCCGGGGCGCACTGAGGTATCAGTTGAGACTGGGCATGGTGGCACATGCCTGTAATCCCAGCTCTTGGGAAGTTATAAACAGGCGGATCACTATGAGTCCGATCTAGTAGTGAGACCTTGAACATCCTGTAGACCCTTCCCTAAAATACAAAAAAGAAAAAAGAAATTACAAACATAGCAAAATAGAAGAGATATACACTAGAGGGGAAATTGAAATATTTCTACTAACTTTATATTGTGTTAATAAAAAATATTTTGGGCTGGGAGATAGCTCAGTAGAATAAGCACTTGCCTGGCAAGTGCAGGGTCCTGAGTTCAATCTCCGGCACTGCAAAAAAAAAAAATGAATAAATAAAAATAAAAAATATTTCAATATAGGCCAGCTAGTTTTATTTATAATAAAAGTTTATCTTTGTTGAGAAGAAAGTTTGTTTCGGTTTTTTGGTAAGCATCTTTGGCTTTTTTTTTTAATTGGGTAACTGCTTTGAAGATGATATACACAGTGTAATAAATATTGTTACTTTGTTATGAAATATTTTGTATTTTTCGTAAAAAGGAATAATAAATCATCAGTTTAATGAGTTTGATACAGTAGTAGAATAAGATTACCTGAAAAATAGACAAACTAGTATTTATCCTCATTCCTGTGCTAGTACTTGTTCTTTTATTATACTTTTTAGCAGAGTAAATAAAACAATATTGGATACCTTGGTTCTCTTTAAAGTACAGTTGCATGTTGGTTTAATTGAGGTTCATAATGGTGGCTTTACAAAATTCTTTTCTTTTCAAGGAAAGCAAGTCTTGCGCTAATCAGAAAAATGATTCATTTTTGTTCTGAAGCACTGTTAAAAGAAGTTTGTGATTCTGATGTTGGTCACAATTTGCCTACAATATTAGTGGAAATCACTGCAACTGTCCTTGATCAAGAGGTCAGTTTTTCATCTTCCTTTAGATTCTTTTACATTTAATTCCCTTTAGATAGTAGATAGTGAAATAGCACTGTTGTTTTAATTCTAATAAGCTATTTTGTCTGTTTTAGGAAACTAAATTTGTTTTTATCATATTCTCTTTAACTTCCTTGTGGTCATGTACTCTTTCTTTTTCTCCCTGCAGGATGATGATGATGGCCACCTGTTGGCTTTGCAGATTATAAGGGACTTAGTAGATAAAGGTGGTGATATTTTCTTGGATCAACTAGCCAGACTTGGTGTAATTAGCAAAGTGTCAACTTTGGCGGGTCCTTCCTCTGATGATGAGAATGAAGAGGAATCAAAACCAGAAAAAGTAAGTGGTCTTAAGCCAGGCGTGGCGGTGCATGCCTGTAATCCCAGCCCTCAGGAGGCTGAGACAAGAGGATCGTTGAGAGTTCAAGACCAGACCAGCCAGGACTACAATGTGAGCTCAGGGCCAGCCTGAACTGCATAGTGATACCCTGTCTCAAATAAGCAAAAAAGAAAAGTAAAAGGTCTTAATTGTAATGGAGTCAGAAACTTGTTTTGAGGAAATATATTTTCAATTTATAATAGCTGTTGTGAAAATAATGGCAGTGTAGAATACTACCATCTGTACTTTTTTAATCAATTTTATTTTTCAGTTGTTTATTGGTAGGATTCAGAATATACAAAGTTCCAAAAATAGTTAAAAGAATGTCTCTACATTTTAAAAATATTATTTGAAGATAAGCTGAGTATGACCTCTGCTTATTTGTTTTGGTTTTTATTTTATTTATTGGACATAGGTCCTCACTAAGCAGTTCAGACTCATATTGATCCTCTTATCTCAGCCTCTCTAGCACTGGGATTATAGGCATATGTCACCATGCCTGGTTTTGGTGGCCAGCATGTCAAATTCCAGGGGTTCCAGTAGCCAGCATGGCATGAGGCACTGAGGATCGAACTTGGGTCCTTGCACGTGCCATCCAGACACTTCAACTGCTGAGCTATCTCCCCAACCCTGTTTGATAGATAGATAGATAGATAGATAGATAGATAGATAGATAGATAGATAGATTTTTTTTTTTTTAAACGACAGTGTCTTTCTGTGTAGCTCAGGCTAGCCTTCAGTTCACTGTGTAGCCCAACGTGGCCTTGAACTTGCAGTGCTCTTCCTGCTCTAGCAGTGTTCTTCCTGCTTCTGCGTCCTGAGTGGTGGGATTACAGGTACACCACCATGTCTGACAATATGCTCCCTTTTATACTTCACCAAAAAAGCAGCATGTTCTTGGTAGGTGTAGTCATACATACCTAAAATCCCAGCATTCCAGGAGGTAGAAGCAGAAGAATTTCATGTTTGAGCCCAGCCTGGACAATTTAGCTATTTAGTGAGGTCCTGTCTGAGAATAAAGAAAACAGTAATAAAGTTGGCTGTGTACAGTTTATGTGAAGGCCCTGTGTTTAATCTACACTACCACTACTACAACCATAATAAAACACAGCACATTTTCTTGTGTTGTTCTAATATAGTTAATCAAGTCGAAAGGCTTAGTATTTAGGAGCTGAGGATATAGCTCATCCACAACATAGCGCAGGGCACTAAGCACCTGCTTAGGCAAGCACTGGGACCAAAGTTCAATTCTAGATACCACATGCCTTGCTGCCTCTGCCAACCCCCACAAGCTGAACTGGCAACAAGATAGCGCATGGTGGCACATTTGGGAGGCTGAAAACAGGAGGATCACTATGAGTCCAAGCTGTGTAATGAGACCCTGTACCAAATACGTAAAATAAAAAATTTAAGAAAGTTCTTCTTAGCATGCACAAAATCGCATCTGATCTTCAGCACTGGATATTTTCAGGTAAGCAAAATCTGATAGAATTTTTTGGTTAACAATTTTTTGTTGTTACTTTTTGAGAGAGCCTTGCTATGCAGTCCACGTTACACCTCAGCTAGCTGTTATTACTCAGGATGACCTCAAACTTGTACTCCTCATGCCTGAACTTTTCAAGTTCTGAGAAAAAGACGTGCACTATCACCTCTGGTTTTTAACAATGTTATTTTAAAAATCAAACTTTTTTTTTTTGTGGTACCAGGGATTGAACTCAGGACACTGCCTTTGCCAGGCAAGCACTTACTCTACTGAGCTATCTCCCTAGGCCAAAAATCAAACTTTTGATGAAATTCAAATTACTGATTTTTAAGTTGTGGTATGACCTTTTAAAATGCCTTCACAGAAGTTTTACCAAAGCCAAAAATCATTTTAAAATTTTTTTAAAAATCATTTAAAAAAATTTTTAGTAGATAGTCTTTACTTATATTGTATATATGGTAAATTTTGGGGTTCAACATTGTATGTATATTATCCACTGAGCCATCTCACCAGAAATTCATAATCTTCATTTTGTGGGAATATTCTCAATCTTTAAATGTCAATAAAAACTTTTAGAATCTTAGGCTAGGCTACAAAATATGTTCTAACTACGATACCAGGGTGACCATAGGAATAATCCTGTGCATTTGATTTACTTGAATAAAGCATAGGTCCTTAGAACTTATTTTCTGTTTTGTGTGCAGTCTTTTGTATATATTGTTATGGGTAAAAATGGTGTGATAATTTCATGTGTACAATATATAATGATCAAATCAGGGTAATTAGCATTTTGATCCCCTGAAACACTTGGCATTTCTTTGGGTTGAGAGCCTTCTAATGCTCTCTTCTAGTTTTTTAAATTAAATTTGTTATAGATGTTAGTCACTCTCTTATAGAGCATTAGCATTTTTTTCTTTCAAACTGTACTTTGCTATCTGTTCTCCAATCTCCCTGTGCTCCGTCTGTTTTCTCTCTGCTAATGACTACTACTCTATTCCCTTCTTTCAGATGGTAATTTCTTTTTTCTTTTTTTTTTTTTCTTTTGTGTGGTACCAGGGATTGAACTCAGGACCCTGTGCTTGCCAGGCAAGTGCTAATT